ACTCCTCCAGGCCCTAGACGCCGCCGTCGCGTCTTAGTTCGGAGCTGTGGCCGCGCGAGTCGAGATGGAACCTTTCCTGGTTCCCCAGCGGCCAGGTCTTCCGCCCTCCGACTGGCCGTGGGATGCGTGTGCGCCCTGCCAGGGCCTGGCCGGGCTGACTCTCGGCGCCCCCTCCTTTCCAGCTGAGCGTATACACCACGACGAGGTCCCACCTGGGTACTGAGAACAACATCGACCTGGTCTTGAATGTGGAAGACTTTGATGTGGAGTCCAAATTTGAAAGGTATGGTTGTAGGACAAAATGCCAGTGAAAGGGAAAACATTACTTGTGTTCAGGTCGTTTGAAAGTTAGCTTTCTGTACCTAACGTGTTTACCTTAGAGAACTAGTCTTACCGAATGTCTCGAAGTAGTAGAATATCGTAAGTGGAGGCCTATGCGTGGCCTGTAAACATTCAACCTGGAAGGTGACAGGTGATGAATGTCGTTTGGGAGGTAGCTCTCAGCAGAGTCTGATGGCTGTGGGATGTCCTGCAGCGGGGAGGCTCCGAAGGAGCAGGGGCCACGCTTGAACCAGTTGAGAGCGGACAGCTCTGTAGTTTCACTACCGGGGCCGACTTGTCTTTTCCTGGTGGAAGTAGTTCGCTTAAGTTACTTGTGAAGGAAAAGGGATGGGGATGGAGGAAGCAATTTTGTAGAAAATCATAATTAAGTGACATGTGACGTTAGAATAGATCAATGTCCAAATATGTAGAGTAACTTAAAAATTACATCTAACATATGGCCTAATTTTTTTTAATTGAATAATTTTAACTGTGATTTGCTTCTCACAAGTCAACCATTTCCCTTCATTGCCTGGGAGGTATCTGAGGAGAAAATAATGAAAGCTTGAGACTGTAGCTGAACTCCACGCCCTCGAGGCGGCCAGTCCCTGTGGGTAGCTGGAGGCACTGGCAAGGCGGTTTCTGCCTGGCCTCTTTGGGCCTGTGATCTCAAGCCAGTTGCTGCCCTCTCTCTGCCTCCATGAAATAGAGGCCAGAAGTGCTGGTTTGGTCACCAGTGGGTTGTAGCTGCCCACACCTTTCAAAAATGCTCAGGATTCATCTGCATTGGGTTTAATTTCCCAGACATGAATACTGCATCTTCCATGCTGGGCCCTGGACCAGTTATCAAGGACAGCTAGTGAGGTTTTCCATTTGACCTGGCACAGTGTCAGCCTGGAGGTAGCGGGGAGAATGAGCACTCTGACACAGCCCCACCTCAAGTGTCTCTGAGTGCACGTTCCATCAGAGATACACAGCCCTGCACCCCCGCCTAAAGAGAAACACTTAAGATGTCCTGGTGGAGACAGATTCTTTCTTGGGTAGTGAGGAGCCATAGATGCCTTTGTGTTTCTCATTAGAACTTTGGCCATAAGATTTTTTTTTTTTTTTT